AGTAATAAACACCATAAAGACTGAATATCAACAATAAAGACTAAATATTGACAACTAATATTGACACCTAATATTTACACAAATATTGATAAATCTAACAGTACCTCTCGAGTGTTCCATCTGCTTTATACTTTACAGTACATATCCATCGACATCCTACAACTTTCTTATCTTTAGGCATAGTAACCAACTCCCATGTTTTATTTTTTTTCTAAAGCTTGCATTTCAAGATTCATTGCTTGCCTCCATTCTTCATGTTGTATTGCATCCATATACGTTTTTGGAATATTTAGTTGAGTAAAGTTAACCATAAAACTGCTGTACTGACTTGAGAGTTTGTCATATGATACAAAGTGAGACAATGGATACTGAGTACAAGTCTGTTTTCCCTTTCTTAAAGGGATCGACAAATCCAGGTCTGACTCATCATTAGCAGATATTGTAATGTCTGGCTCATCATTAGTAGATACTATAATGTCTGATTCATCATTGATTATTTTCTCRTCAATTTCARTTAYAGGGATATGTTCAGACTCTTGGACGTGCTTATCTTTTTCAGTGTTCCTTCTTGAATAAACCTGTAATGGTGTAGTAGTAGAAGGGTTAGATGGTCCTGGTAAGGTGTCTAAGGGTGGTGGTAAAGGATTTGATATAGGAAATGTGAGGTTGGGAATGGGCAAATCCTTATCTTCCAATAATAGTTCCTCCCCCTGAAGATAAGGTGAGGTAAAGAAGCTGGTGTCTTCATAAAAGGTAACATCARCARAGATGAAGAAYCTTTTTGAASGAGGAYGATAGCATTTATATCCCTTTTGAGTGTTCGAGTATCCGACAAAAATACACTTGAGTGCTCGTGGATCAAGTTTACCTCGCTGATGACTAAGAACATGAACAAAGGCTACACAACCAAATACTCGAAGAGTCAAGTTATTTGTTGTTCGAAAATCAGGATAATATTTTGATAGGATATTCATAGGAGTTCTATGGTCTAGAGTAGCAGATGGTAACCGATTGATTAAATAAGTGGATGTTAACACAGCTTCCCCCAGAAGGATTTTAGGAACATTTCTTTGAAAAAGAATGGCATGTGTCACAGAAAGGATGTGACCAATTTTTCTTTCGGCCACTCCATTCTGTTGAGGAGTGTCCACACAAGACGACTCATGGATGACTCCATGTTTTTGAAAGAAGGATGTTAAGTTTTGATTGAAGTAATCTCGAGCATTGTCAGAAYRGAATCRTTTGGGTTTGAWTCCGAATTGGTTTTCTATCATATGAAAGAATGTTTGAATGGTAGAACCAACATCAGATTTTTGTTTTAAAAGATAAACYCATGAGACTCRAGTACAGTCATCRATGAAYACAATAAACCAACGAAATTTGGAAACATTTGGAACGTTGGAGGGACCCCACACATCAGTATGAATAAGAGAGAAGGGAACTGATATTCGTTTATTATTACTAGGGAAGGGTACACGCTTGTGTTTAGCGAATTCACAAACTTCACAGTGAATTGACTCAGGATTAAGATTTTGGAATAAATCGGGAAACAATATTTTAAGAATTCAAATGAAGGATGTCCTAGTCTATAATGATTCAACAAAAAATTACTTGAAGGATGATGAGTTTGTGAGGTGAAGGAGACTGAAAAACTAGTCTGACCGACAAGTTCATTAAGATAATAAAGTCCATCTTTTTCATTATCAAGTCCAATAATCTTCCCATTGCCCTGGTCCAGTAAAATACAAGAATCAGAAAAAGTTACTCTGCAACATAAATCTTTGATCAAATTCTTTACCGATATCAAATTAACAGTTAAACGTGGTATATGAAGCACATTCTTTAAAGTAATGTTTGAATTTATCTTGATGTCTCCTTGACCGGCTACTGTTACCAAGGTACCATCTGCTGTAGAAATTTTCTTATTGCTCGACAAATACTATAAGAGATAAAATGACAGCTACTATTCGTCATATGGTCTGTTGCACCAGAATCAATAATCCATAATCCAGGTACAAAGTTCAGGCTGGGAAGTTGTACTCGTCAAAGTTACCGAACCTGTACCTTGACTAGGAGCATTATCCAAAGTTTTTAAGAAGCTCCTTAATTGTTTGATCTCATTTATGTCCAAGTTTTTTGTAATTTTGGACTACTGTGACATTGATACCAAGACTAAACTACAACTCAAAAATAGAGATCCAAAACTGAAAAATCAGTACTGTACCGAACCGAAAGAGGGCTGAACCGAATCAAAAACAGTTGAATCGAACCAAAATATTCCAAACTGAACCAAATCTGACTGAAACGAACTGAAACCGGTCGAAACGATCCGACAATGAACTGAACTGGACTGAAAAACGCTGAACCAGTCAAACAACGATTTTAACCTAGCCTAAAGGAGCCGAACTGGCTGGACCGAATCAAGTGAACTGAACCAGTTGAACCAGACTATCTGAACCGAACTGGACAAACCAGGTGACTGGACCGGACGTAACAGCAAAAGACGACGGCGGCAACGGTGGCTGCGACGAACAACAGCAGTGACGATGACCGTTGTCGGTGACGAAGGACGGCGAAACCCACGAACAGCACTTGAAAAACAGCAGCGCTGGCGAATCAGCAAACGGCGCCGGCAGCGGTGGCCGGTGGTGGTCGGCGGCGGTCGGCAGTGGCCGTGAGTTGAGCGGCGGCAGTAATGAACAAAATCTTAATGGACAAAAACCCTAATGGGCATCAAAACCCTAATGGGCACAAAAAACTAAGTTAAAAAAAAATTTAGAAGAAACCTAGAGCTCTGATACCATGTTAATAATAAGAAAAGAAAATAATTCTTCCTTGATTACTCCAAATGATTGATACAAGGCTATATAAATAGCAGTCACAAAAAAGAAACTAAAAAGAAATTCTTGCCTATTAGGATAAAGAAATACTTACCTATTAGAACAATAAAACCCTAACCTAAATACAATAGGAAACCTTTAAAATAAAATAAACTATAATTTAACAATAACAATGGCAATAGAACTTCAAACCAGATAGAAACAGAAGGGAAAAAGATAAGTAAAAAGTATAGGTGCTAAATATTACTGCAGTACCTCCTTCAATCCTGGACGCCATGGAGGAAGATTATTATCTGCTCTTAACAATGCAATTGGCGATGGCAATCCATACTGCAAGAAGTAACAGATGAGTACCATTACTGCATGAAACATCAAAAGAGCACAATTACACGCATAGTAACATGGAACATCAAAACTTGATACCATAGCAATCAATTGAATCTCAAGAAAATGGTAACGGTAAAGTTTTTTTCTTTTTTATCATGATAGTCACCCTCACATGTATTTTAAATCACTTCAGGCAAGCATAAAGTTTCAAACTTTTAACAAAGTTACGTGGTCAGTGTACAATATAAACTAATACTTGTACCATAACAAAACTTCTAAACATACTCCTATCGTAAAACACTAACCTGCTTGAAATTGCTCCAAACATTACAATCAGGACCACGCCCATCACGTACCACCCTAATGTCAATGTCGGCACCCTGAGATATTTTGGTCAGTTTGAATTGAAATGGTCTTCCTCATACGTACACACGTATACTGTGGGAATTGGAAACCTTGAATTAAGATTAAACTAAATTGAGAAAGAGACTGTCAGTTAGCAAGTCAAAATTCAGAATCTAATACAAAACAAAAGTAAACACCATAAGTTGGCCTAATAGCATTTGTGTGGCTGAAAAAAGATTTAAGAAGGGGCAAATGGGTTAAAATCCAATAGTGGTTAACTACATCGAATATTTCGGATATTTGTAGAGTCAAGCCGCTATCCCGTGACATTAATTGAGATACATGCGATCTAGCAGACAGTCACGAATATCAAAATATATATATATACAAAGCACAAGTAATTACCATTGTCATTGCTCCAAAATGAGCTGCAGCGACTAGAATGCTACCAGTGCCAACAAAAGGGTCATATACAAGTTTCCCTGCTGTCGCTAATGCTTGGTTGGCCATTAAGAAAGCCATTTCAGCATCCATGGCAGTTGGCCCAAGATAAGTACGACTTTTTAACTGGTATGTTGGTATAAGCTTCCTATCAGCACCACCAACCTCCCGACCAAAAAAAATGCTCCTTTGAGCAATTGGTGGAAGTCCATTATTCAATCCGTAATCAGCCATTTCCATAAGACAGAACTTATGATCTGGATTTTTTAAATTAACTTGACCCTGAAATATTCCATCAGCACCCAGTTATTAAAAAACAATTTACCACATTGACATGCATTAGCTCGAGTGACARAAGTGTGATTATAAAGAGTGTCAAAATTCAGGTATAACCTGCAGAACCTAGAAGAGCTAACAGAGGAAAATGACATAGATAGGACTTCTAGGACTTGATTTGATACCATTTATGATGAGAAGCCATGATAATTGCATGAGATCATGTCTTTAAGTTATGAAGTAAATGTAAAAGAAGATGCCATTGTGACATAAATGAAGCATGAGGTAGCATAACTGCCCTAATTGATCAACATGCCTCTGAGTTTCTTCAAAAATAGTAAGATTCCCGGGTTAGATAGTGAAGAATGACGAAAATAAACGAAGTACAAAATTAAGTAAACTGATTATATTTTCTCAATCAAATTTGCATGCAGGAAACAAGAAAAAAAATTAAGTAGATGGATAATATTTGCTCAATCAAACTTGCATGCAGCAACCAAATTATATTTTTAAAACTAACTCCAAATGCGCACAGGAGGTGAAGCAATCAAATTATATACCTTTGAGTTTTCTTTCATTCATTCTTTCTTTCTTTCTTTATTTCTTTTTTTTTTTTCTGAAAAGAAACACGTTTCATTTTTTATGAAAAATACTAAAGGGGATGAGGAGAAATTCTCGAGAATGCCTAGCAGCTCCCATAAAAGCACTCTAACCAGCGCCAATATCTAAAAGAGCATTATTACAAAAAGATTTACAAAGAGAAACCATTTGGAGGTTAGATTAATTACTCTCTCCAAAAATATATAATTTACTATTTTTGTCTAACAACCCTCACAGAAGAGACTTAATAAAATTTTTCCATAGGGATTTGTTTCTTTCCTTTGGAGGGAGATCCACACAAGGTCTAGAAATGTTTACACTCACTGCCCGAAACGAGCTTGTAGCTGTTTTTTACCAGCATTGATGTTAAGAGATGAAATTCCAGGGTCATCTTGAGTTTATTGCATTTCTAGTTGCTATGAACCATCCTCCAACTTCCCTCCTATACTCGCTGTCAATAACCTTGTGCGAAAGACTGTTTTCTTCGAGGGCAATTTCTTCTATGCAACCATATTTACAAAAAAGGGCTAAATTTTTCTCCTTTTAAGTTGCCAATTCCCAAGCCTCCTTTGTGCATGGCTGAGTAGCCACCTTCCAATTGATAAGATGACTTTTTTTATCCCCTGCCTCTCCTTCCCATAAGAAATACATACCTCAGGGATTTGTTTATATACAGATATACCTTCAAGTAGTTCAACTTCACATATCATAAAAAAGTAGAAATATTATATATGAAATCTTGAACAGACTCTATTCTTCTTGCAAAGCTCAATTCAAATGTGTCGTAAATGGCCGCAAGACAGGAGATTACAGATCATTTTAAAGGGTTGCACCCACTACATTAATTTTCACAGCCACCTAAGTGATTCTCTTTCATAATGTATGCAGCTTTAGCTCTTCTATGAATTGTTTCTCATAGACTGGGAACCCTAGGCACTCTCTGTGGACAATATGCATCCTAAATATGTTAAAATTATTCTTTCAAATTTTCTCGAAATAAAGACTTAGACATGATATTGGTCTACCTTGTAACAATGTTTTAAAAGGCTTAAGGCAGCCTCGAGGCTTTTTCTTAGTGAGAGGCGAGGCGTAAGCCTCGAGGCGGTATGAGGCATAAGCCTCATTTTACATAAGGAATCATAAAAATTTAAAACTTTGTGTGTGTGTGTGTGTGTTTTTTTTTTTTAACAAGATATGAATTTTGTATTACGAAACTACAAAACATACTTAAAAATTCTAACAACAAAAAGAAACATCTCAACAGTCCATCAAGGTACACATCTAACCTTTCAGTATCATTATCACTAAAATATAAAAAATAAAGCAAGAAAAAATTTGGAAAACAAGTTGAGGTTAAAAAAAAACACAAAAAAGGAGAAACAAAACTAAAAAAAAAAAGAATAAAACTTGCTACCCTTAATACAGTGTGCAGTAATCAAAAGAAAAAAGAAAAAACAAAGCAAGAGTAGATAGGAGAGAGAGAGAGAAGGAAAAGAAAATTTTTACGCACTGTTTCTTGCCATCAATCTACTGTTTTACATTTTTATTCGTTGTACAGATGAAGACAAACTAGGTTTGTCTTTTAATTTAGTCTAGGTTGCTATTTAATAATAGAATAATAAGATTTTAAGTTTAAAATAATATATCAAACAAATGTCAAGGCAATTATTTTTCTGTCTTTTCAGAGCACTAAACCACCTTGTTAATTACACCACCTTATTATTTCACCCCATCACCGCCAAACCACCGCCAAAGACCATTTTCATTTGATGCACCTTTTAAGCCTCAAAGGCTTAAGCACAAGCCTCTTTTTATTTGTTACAGGCGTAAGCCTTGAGGCATGATATACCTGGCTCACCTCAAGGCGTAAGCCTTGAACGATTTTTAAAACATTGCCTTATAGAATATATTAATTCCACGGTGTTGGTCTCCCAAATATCATCCAAATCCTAAATATCCAATTTGTTTTCTTCATAAACTAATTTCTCCAGATAAAGGACCTAGTTATTTTATGAAAGATATATTAGATTAAGTTCCTGCATCATGTGTGTTGCGGGCCTTTTATAAAATAAAAAATAATTATTTATATATAGTTCAACCGGTGGGAATGGAGATTCAAACCTCCAACCTTATGGTCGAGGATTTAAGGTCGAGGATATATATCTTAACCTGCTGAGCGGGTTTAGGTGGACAATAAAAAGCTATTATATTTGTCAATTATAAGAAAAATAATTCTCTTGTATATTCTTTCAAAGGATTGATACAAGACTATAAATAGTTGTCACAAAGAAGAAACTAAAACGAAATACTTGCCTATTAGGATAAGGAAAACACTTACCTACTAGAACAAGAAAACCCTAATCTAAATACAATAGGAAAAAATAATTTAACACTCCCCCTCAAGCTGGTGAATGAATATTCTTCATTCCAGCTTGTTAACCAAATGCTCAAAGTTGTTGTTTCAATTTTTTTGTAAGAATATCTACTATTTGATTATTTGTTGGTACAAATGAGGTGCATACGAGGCCGCTGTCTAATTTCAATTTCTCTTTTATGAAGTGTCTATCGACTTCAACATGTTTGGTTCTAGCATGTTGAATTGGATTATGTGCAATACTGATGGCAGACTTATTATCACAATAAAGTTTCATAGGCCCTTCCCATGGAACCTTCAAATCTTCTAAAATAATATCTTTATCCAGAGTAATTCACAAATGCGCAATGTCATTGCTCTAAATTCTACTTCTGAACTTGATCTTGCAACAACATTCTGCTTTTTACTTCTCCATGTTACTAAGTTTCCACCTAAGAAAGTACAATAGCCAGAAGTTGATTTCCTATCGTCTATCGATCCTGCATAATCTGCATTTGTATAAACTTCTAGATTGAGTTTATCGCTTTTCTTAAATAGTAATCCTCTCCCAATAGTGTTCTTTAAATAGTGAAGTATATGATACACTGCTTGAAGGTGGACTTCTTTTGGACTATGCATAAATTGACTCACCACTCCTACAGCATACGCAATATCTGGTCTTGTATGATAAAGATATATTAATTTTCCAACTAACCTTATCTGGAGGACTCTCTTCAGCTGCACATAATCTATGATTTTGATCAATCGGCGTTGTCATTGGTTTGCTACCAAGCTTTCCCGTTTCAGACAGCAAGTCAATCACATATTTCTGTTGTGATAAGAATATGCCCGGTTTAGAATAGGCTACTTCTATCCCAAGAAAATATTTCAGTCTTCCCAGTTCTTTAACTTCAAACTCCTGGATTAAACAATTTCTTAGTTTATCTTGCTCATTATTATCATTGCCAGTAACAATAATATCATCCACATAAACAATCAATGCTGTTACTCTCCCTACAGCATAATGTTTTATAAACAACGTATGATCTCCTTGCCTCTGTTTATAGCCTATTTTCCTCATAACCTGAGAAAATCTACCAAACCATGCCCTAGGAGATTGCTTTAATCCATACAATACCTTTCTCAATTTACAAACTTTATTTCCTACTTGCTCATACTCTGGTGGAATCTCCATATAAATTTCTTCTTCCAGATCACCATGTAAAAAAGCATTTTTTACATCATATTGTAACGTGTCCCATCCATGGTTGACAGCAAGGGATAGAAGTATTCGTACTGTGTTCATCTTGGCAACAGGTGCAAAGGTTTCAAGATAATCAACTCCATATGTTTGAGTATATCCTTTAGCAACTAACCGTGCTTTGTACCTCTCAAGTGTTCCATCAGCTTTATACTTCACAGTGTATATCCATCGACAACCTACTACTTTCTTATCTTTAGGCATATTAACCAACTCCCATGTTCCATTTTTCTCTAAGGCCTGCATTTCAAGATTCATTGCTTGTCTCCATTCTTCATGTTGTATTGCTTCCATATATGTTTTCGGAATATTTACCTGAGTAAGGTTCACCATAAAGCTTCTATGCTGACTTGAGAGCTTGTCATATGATACAAAGTGAGACAATGGATATTGAGTACAAGTTCGTTTTTTTTTTTTTTTTATAATAAACAATGAGAATTCATTCATGAAGACGTGGAGCCCAAAAAAAAAGGCATACAACCTAGAGGCAGAGGGTCGAGGAGACCCCCTCCAAAGAACCTATACAATCAAAGTATTCCAACTCTTGAGAGTCAAAAGAAAACCGTAGTTACGAAAAACCTTCTTGTGGATCGAAGCCCACCAAGAAGCAGTGAGTTTAATATTCTCACAAAAAGCCTCTGGAGAAGCCTCTTTCTCGTCAAAAAGTCTGTAGTTCCGTTCCTTCCAAAGTAGCCAAAGGAGAGCTCTAGCGCCACAATTCCATAGAATATAAGATTTTCCTTTGAGCAGCAAACCACCAAAACCTTCCTCAATGAAGTCATCTATCTTCTT